CAGTACCATATTCCAGAGGGCTTTTCAAGTTCACATATAACTGTAACTCCATCTAGTCTTCTAACCATTTACTTATAAAAATTAATAGTTGAACTTATTAACTAATTAATTATGATGTTTGTTACCTTATAATATGCAAAAAGTAAATCCAAAGACTAGAAATTAATAGACTAAAATGTTAATTTTATTTTTATTTTTTATTTATTCATATGATATATTTATATGTATACATTTTGTTACATTTACCAATGGTAATTATAAGAGTTATAGTTTATGTTTGTAACATAATATTATAAAATAAGTTAATCTAAAGACTGGAAAGTAAAAGACTAAAATGTTATGACAAGGTGTAATTTTTATTTTGTTTTCTTTTTATTTATTGATACAGTTGATAAATTTTGTTGTATTTTAATAATAAAAAAAAAGTTTAATAGTAAAAGTTGAGTTCAATTTTTTAAAAATATCAATAATTGTTTCTATTCAACACCCTGTTGCTATAATAGAAAAATGTATTTAAAAGTCATAAATATTTCTATTGCCACCAACTATCGGGTCAATAGAAACAGAGGAAATCCAACACCTTCGTCTACACGACTACACGCTATTGTAGACCAATACAATTTATGTATAATAAAGAGATGGTAGAAATAACATACAATGAAGTAGAAAAAGTGGAAAAAGAAATTTCAGAACTAAAACCCCTCAAATTAAATATAAATAATATGTTGTGTCTATTAATTATACAATGGTATAATGTCGATTATTAATGGCAAAGTAATAAACACTTTTGACTTTAATTGGATCTTCAAGCCAATAGTTTGTTTTATTTGTAAATACAACCCTACAAATATGAACAATTTAGACCAAATACACAAATTTAAAATCAATGAAAATAATTTTAAGTACGGTTTATCCACATTGCATGCCTGGATAAAATTTTTAGAGTGCACTTTACAAATTGCATATAAATTGGAATCGGCTCCAACAACTAAAAGAACAACTGCTGTACAAAAAAATTTAATTTCAGAAAAAAAGAAAGAAATAGGTACAATCTCGTCTTTGGGAAGAATCAAGAATTAGGTTTAAAAGTTGACAGAGGGGTTCAGGGTATGGGTACATCAAATACGGGGAATGTTGCTCGAAGATTTTTTAAGAATTCCAGGATTTGATGTTCGTTTAATCCATAAATTTTCAATAATAAAAACAGTGATTTCTAGTGGTCATGAAATAAATTACGAAAGATTTGATGAGTATGCTAGAGAAACAGCTTAACTTTATGGAAAGTTATATAATCGGTGCCGTATGCTTCCAAGCGTACACAAAATTTTGATACATGGCTCTTTAGCAATCAAAATATATGCCCTATTGGACAGTTATCTGAGGAAGCTCAAGAGTTACGGAACAAAGACTATATACGAATGCGAGAACATCATTCAAGAAAATCGTCACGCTTTAACACAAATACAGATTTATTTAACTTTCTTTTGATAACATCTGACCAAACTTATAACAGGATTAAGACCTCAGAGTAAAGTATCATCAACTGAATTATCTCCAGAAGCAATACATTTATTGATTATTTAAAACTCCAAAGATAAAGAGTTTAACGAAGAGGAAGCTGAAAGTAGTTGTGATGATTAGACTTAATTTTAAAATGTATTACTTAAATATAATATTGAATAGTTTTTTTAAGATTTGTTTTGTATTAACTTAAAAAATGTATTCTAAAAATAATAAATTGTACACACTAAATATTATTGTTTTAAAATATTTTATATTTTTGGCCGGCTGCTAGAACTCGTATTCCTCACACTAGGGCGTCCCACGGCGCGCCCCAATAGGTACACCGCGTTAAACAGAGGTACACCAGGGCAATACTACGCTACATGGTGCACCGTTGTAGTACGTATATACCTTGGTAGCACGATTATACCGCCCCGGTGAGATATGTCTGGTGATAATTCGGTGTGTATAGTCCGTCTGAAAAGTCGTCATATGCGAGTCAATAGAATACTCTGACACGCGTTGATGCGCTTGTATGTCGAGAATAACAGTTCCCGCCGCGGTGGTGGCCATAGTCGCCTGCCCTTGGCTGTTATACTAATTATAGTCCGCTTCGTCTTAGGTCCGCCGAAAAGATATTTAAGATTCTCATTTCAAACCAACGACTCAGCAACATATCTGGTGAAGTAACAAATGAAACCAGCTGTTTGTACAAATTTGTGAGTACCTACCTTAGTATCTTATATACTATTATGTTTTGTAAATTTTTGCGAAAAGTCTCGAGTCGTACCTACGTGTATTTATTATTCAATGGCAGATACTGAAAAAATCCAAAAAGAAATTATTGAAAACCACTGCACAACAAATAAAACAGCTTATTGCTGATTAGCTATTCTATATACAGATTATAATAACGTCATTATATGCATACAGGGCTGGTTGTAAGTTGGGGGGGGGAATAGGAAATTTACCTTGGTGGCAGAAAAATGAACAAAAAATTAAATTTTGTTTGTAAAGGAAACATCAGTCTGAAAAATTATGTGCTGAATAATTAACAGTGATATTTACATATTATTTAGTTTAAAATTGTAATATTATTCGTGTTTTCGTATGTGAGTGTTACAACAATTGTGAAGTAATTTTTTCAGGAGATTATTGCGGTTGAAACGCATTTTTTTGGCCATTTTTTTACGTAGTATTTAGGGCATTTAAATCCAGGCCCTAATTATAATGTATAATTATCAGAAGTTAGTGCAAATGCCAATTTAATATTGTACCTTTGTACTGAAATAACTTTAAAATTAGTATTCGAAAAAAATATTAAGTGGTTAATTTTGTTGGTAAGTATTATGTATTTAGGTATACATATTTGGAAATTAAATGGCCGGACATCATATTGAAAACAGTATCAGACACAATTGAAGAAAGAACAGTGCAAAGCAGTATGCCAATAACGACTACGTCAAGCACTTCACTAAGTATACAACTGCTGAATCGTCATTTTAATCTAAACGGTTATTGAGAATTGTGTTTTATATTATTCGATTTTGCAGGAACTGTAGACCCAAAGCCAACCAGACTATTGGAAGCTGTGCTGTGAGTGAAAGGCGCCAAGCAATGGAGTACTGGATACGTATAGTGCAAGGAGCAGAATTCATCATGGAACTAACCTCCCTGACGCGACAATAGAATGTAAGAATTTACTTAAAACTCGCTGGTTTGAATCATTATTAAGAGATTTAAATTTAGTTTATATTAATGACCCGTTTTTTCATTCTATTTTGCCGTAACTAATGTACTAGTGCTATATTATGTTCTACTTGGTCACACGTTTGTGTCAAGTCCCTAACTCTAGGAAATTTCAAGTTAGGTGGGACTGGAGGAATACTTCTTTTTGTTTTGTTACTTTTTTTTTGGGGGGGGGGCTTAACACTAATTATCACTTACTAGTTACTACGCACACATTTACAAGACCCGCATGCATGCAATTTGAAAGTTACCTAATACGAATTCCTTAAAAACTATCCACCACGGTTACCTACTAACCACAATCTCTGCAGTGCCGCGTTTAGACATTTTTCGCCCCAATTTAAAAAAAAACTTTGCACCCCCGTAAGGGGCCAAACCATGGGAAATATGGGTGATAGATCCTCATAAACTTATTAGATTTAGAGCAAAAGGAAATAATATTTAATAAATAAATAAAATACGCCTATTGTTTAATAATTTCATTAACCCCCTTATAAATAATTTTAATTAATTGTTTTTTATAAATTGTATTTATTAATCGTTATTATAAATCATAAGTACCTTATAGTACCTACTATTTACTAACCTACCACCTATATGAGGTAGTTATCACATGAGCTATTGAGCTCGTTTCTTTGTATCCAAATACTGTTACAAATAACAGTTCAAGAGATTCGGTATACTACATTATTATTACATTACAATTAATGGTAATTGATTAAGGGGGTAAGCGACGCCAGTACACGGCGGTCTCTCAAACCTTTAGCCGTCTTTACCGCACCCGACTCGTCCGCGCCTTAGCGGCGCAATCGTCATCCCTCGCTAAGGGGTGCGTCTGGGCGCCCGAGCGCCAGGCAGACGGCCCGGAGCATGCCTACTTCAAGGCATATTATGGGTATCGCCAAATGCGCCAGCGGCGGCAGGTTTTTAATCTACTCAAGCGAACCCCCTTCTACTAAAGCGCTACTTCCACACCCTCCGCGATTCCATCCACATAAGTCACGGACGCGCGGCAGAACAATCACTCGCTCGCCCGGCTGCCGGACGCGCGTGCCCTAGTTACCGGAGTGCTGTTTTTACCAGCAGGGCTCTCTCCGGTACCCGCGGAATGAGATTTCGGGCTCCGTATACCAGGTACTCACAACGACCTATTTCCCACAAGCACGATATCGAGGCGGGAATCCGCAGGATTTTCCGCCGCGATCCGCCTTTCTGTGCGGTATGGTTTACTGCGCGGGTGGCCGTTCCCGCACCGGGTAATTTCGCCCGGATTTACAGTGACTGATAGTAGACGACTGGTTTCTGCCCACTACTAGCACCAGTTCGCTCGCATCTCCTGGATGCGGGCTCTCGATCGAGTTTTCAGTGAGAATGAACCGGCGTGTAATCGGAGGTCCGCGGACGGGTCTTGTATGAGGTACCCGCCCGCGGTTGCTTTGCCCGATTCTTCCGTTTCATTCCCATTTTAACGTATTCATCGGTATGTCGCAAGGTTAATGGGTTACAACCTTTTTATTCTCGTTGCGTCCCCATTTATCCTCACTCGGGTTTATGTATCTCGTGCGGACTAGGAGGGTTATCCCTCTTTCCCTCGGCCGCTGTACGTAGGTACAGGGACCCGAATTGGGTTTTTACTTTTATCGCCAATTACGACTACCGAGCTAACCCTTCATCAGCGCGCCAGTGTATTCTTAGCGAATTCACTAACCGCCCGGAACATGGCTTCGGAGCTCGTCATGAACTCTAACTCACCCGGCCAGTCCGCACCGGCCGCTCGTACGGCGAGTTTGAGTTTTTCCTCCTTCCTGGTCTGCAAGTGGGCAATCCATAAGCAGATGCTCCGCAGTTCCACTGGGGAAACCGCATGCGCAAGCTGCATCACCTACAAGGTTAAAGTCGTGGAGTTTTGCTTCTGAAATCCCCGTGGCCGGACAGCAGCCGGGACGTGTAATGATCCATTCGGCACCACCCACGACCCACCCGGCGTCCGACATCGGGGAACCATCGCGCGGTCCACCTACCCTTGGGCTCGCGACCCACTTGCTCTGCCAGAGGAGTCCACTTTTTCGTCCGGGGTCCGAGTGGCCCCCGTTTTCCTTCGTCTTTTCCTTTTCCAATACGTAAGACGGCCTGAGCCGTCGTCGGTAATCGGGGGCGACACGGTGTCCTCTGCCGAAGCGGGGGCAGCGTTCCGCCCAGGATGACATTCGGTCGACGGGCCGCTCAGCTCCGTCCGAGTTCTCATGAACTCATCAAGCGGCGAGGCCCCGAAATCCGAGTCCCCACCTTCCAGACCGCAGTCTGTCGGGGTGCGTACCTTACCTTGATTTAAGCTCATGAGTAGTCTCTATTAAAACCGGGTTCAACCAATCCACTTTTAACCGGGTGGACGGCCCTCAGATACACCCTTCGGAAGGCGCCGAGGTTGTAACGGGATCAAGAGTTGATCCAGCGGCGGGCGGATGTGTCTATGTTCCGCCCGCCCCCCACTCCGCCTACCAATGGGGTGCGCCGGCCGGGTTCTCAGAGCACCCGGCCTGTTTGCCCGCCTGATGCCGTACCATCGGGCGGGCGGGATGTGGGCGCCCATGCGTACGGACATATGCGGACGCCCACACTTACTCCCCATTCTGATTTCGGGGTTAGGAATTCTGGTATTTCGCCAGGTTCGTTTTCCCCGCGCCAGTGTAATTCGGGGGTAAAGGGCATATTCGTGCATGACTTGACGTGTAACGAGTGTAACGAGTGTCCCGTGTCTTTGCCGAGAATTATTTAGCCCATAATTACCTCCCCCGAATTGCTTAGCCGATATTCTCAGTCCTAAAGACTGGGAGCTTTCAGAGTTATGCTCCGTCAGGGGCTTATTTTCCGGTACATTCCATGCCGCTGCGTTGTCTGGTCAGCGGTTTGGCTGCTTAAGGCCTCATAAAGACGTTCGCAGACGGTCCTACCCGGCCAATTGCAGTGTGGTTTTTGCATATGCTGATTACAGAGTTTGCAGTGCGCAGTATGTTACTCAGCTGGTAATCGCGGCTTGTACTTAGCCGCGATAATTGCGATTTTTCTTCTGCGGTTACCGTCTTTCCGCATCGGGGTATGGAGTGCATAGAATTACGCACCCTCCCCATCTCGGTTTTCCGGTCGGCCGGCGAGCGCCCGCGGGGAGGCCTGGTGGAACGGTGACAGCCGTTACTTTTGCCCCTCGCAGACGGTCGCCAGTCCACCCGGCTTCACCATCGGGTTTGACTCTTTTTGCCGAACAATGGTTCCCCGGGGAGCCCAGCGGCCCGGCTCACGGCGTCCTCGCTTATTCAGTTACTTTGGCTTCCACGATTATACGCTATTCCGGACCGCCAGCCTCCGCGGGGACCCATCTCGCTGCTAGATGTAACCGTACGCGAGGCCACCGATGTGTTTCGCCGGCCTCGTTACCAATTGGTATTTAAGGCTTATCGGTTTTACAAACAATTAATGGTAATATGCATAATGCGTTAAAAGGCCAGGATTTATATGAGTTTTACTATTGTCTATGTTTACTGTTCAATCGTCATATTAAAATTATATTATGTATAAAGAATGCTAATATAAATATTTGGAGAAAATGGCAAGGACTAAATACCTAAATATGAAAAACTGATATTGAATAAAGATTCTCGTTTTTGTAAATTTTTTTTTTTTTTTAGTATATCCCAATAGCTAAAAAGATTACTTGGGATTTTTAATTTTGACCTCTGAAATGTACCAACCATAGATTCACTTTCCTGCCAAAAAATATTTTAAAAATAAAAACATTTTTTTTTTTTTTTTTTTTCATAAATCATGTACACAAAACAAAATAAAATATATAATAAAATCAGTACATTCAATGATCCACTCAAAGTATAAAAATATGCTCTTAAAATCAAAAATATGACCTTAAACCTCAAAAAATTTCAAAATATGCATGAAAGTTGTTACTCTAGGCTCTAGCTATTAATTATAATAAATACATACCCATTTGACGGAGGTTTGTTCTGTGTTTGTTGTAGTTGCCCGTACCGAGTAGACGAATGCTGTTGCTGTTGTGGAGACCGATACTGCTGTTCAAACCGCATGGACGGCGGCATTGGCTGTTGCTGTTCGATGCGTGTGTTCAACGGCATATACGCTTCGTACCGCATCGGCTTTTGTGGCGGTTCGTACCGCATGTGCTTCTGCTGTGCCATCGGCTTGCTGCGCTCGTCGTACCGCATCGTCGGCGGCTGCTGATTGTGGTAAGGTTTCGGATCGACATCGATGATCGTGAACCTTGGTGGTGGTGAGCCGTTCTGCTGCCGATCGCCCCTTACCGCCACTTCCGGATACTTGTCGTTGTTGTATAAGTTGTTATTTCCGCCACCACCACTACCACTACCACCTCTGTAGGGCTTTTGCAACGGCACTTCGACTAAATCATTGTCCCACGATGAGCCCCTGTTGTTCCACGACGATCCCCTGTTGTCCCACGAGCTGCCACCGTCCCCGCCGAGAGGCTCTCTGTCCCACGAGCCGCCGCCTCTGTTGAGCGGCTCCCTGTCCCACGACCCACTTCCCCTTGTTAGCGGTTCCCTGTCCCAAGAGAACGACGGTGAACCTATGTTGTTGTTGTTGAACGAAGCCCGGTCCTTGTCCCACGACGACGACGACCAGCTCTTGTAGAATGGTTCGGCCCACGACGCGAACTTGGACGTTAGTTCGTTGGGCCGGTAATACGAGTCGCGGAACTCGGCCGGTTCATCATATCTGCTATTGTACACGGCCGTCGACTTAGATGTAACCGACGTGACGCCGGTGCCACCGCCGCCGATACCGACACCAACGCCCCCCTGCACACCACCACCACGGTTGTAGGAGTTTTCGTAGGACGTCAATCGGCTGCGCTGCAAGCTATCTGGCGGCAATTTCCTACGAATAAAACGGCATATATAGTGTCAACAGACTGCAAAGGTGATATTTTTCAAATAATATAATATATCTATCTAATTACACGTTTGTTATAGGTATAAGTAGACAATTTTTGCTCGAGTAGATATGCCACTCTGATCTGTGTATATAGGTGTGAAATCTTGTATAGTGCTCGAGATAAAATTATTTAAATTTCTGGACCATATTGCGTAATGCGTATAATGTATATGGTATATATATATTTAGGGTAATATACCTACTCGTTTTGTGGTACATTGTACCCAACACAAATTCAAATAACTTTACTTAGAAAACAGATAACCTTAACACAATACTAACAATTTATACACTTACACCAAATGAAACTGTGTAAAATTGCGTAGGCAATAGGGCTTCATTTGGCCAAATGGGGCCCTAATATCTAGAGGTCATTTCTGTCTGTTAAAGACGAAAAAAAAAATTTTACCAGAAAACTAAGTAACTTTTTTATAAGAAATACGGGCCTGTTTGTTTATTTTGCATCTGGGTAAAGTTTTTATATTTACACTTACTATTTTAAATGTTCTAGGTATTTAAATAAAATTAATGTACCTACGATATTATGAAAATGATAAAAAACTAGATTCAATTAACTTATATAAAAAAAAGTCGAGCGTGTAACAAGTACGCGGGGATGAAGTGAAACTTCTTTCAGTCATGCAACTGATATGAGGTATTGGAATAAAATAAAAAAATACACTTTACAATTTTATATTTAATAGAACTGTTTTTTTTTATTATTATTTATTTTTAACTAATGATACAATGGGCTTATGATGGCTGAAATAAGTTATGTACGTTTTTGATTGTACATTATTAAGATATCGTGTATAAATAGCATCTATTGTGGTTCCTGACCGCGTTGTTGGAATTTTTGGATCATTATTCATTGATAAATTGAGATGTACACCACTAACGCTATTTTGCGATTTTTTTTCCTTTTGTCGATTTCGGTATTGTCGTGCACGTTCTGCATCAGATACAGGCAGATGAACTTCAGCTTGAACGACTACTCGGTTACTTTGACTAGGTTCTTTCGCAATGCATGTACCAGAAGCTTCGTCAGCAATGTTGCCAATTGAATCTGTAGTTTTAAATTTTTTTTTTCGGTAACTTGATCTTAACAGTTAACACCATCTTTTGGCATGTTTGATTTAGCTAAGTTTTTAGCTAAGTTAATAAATATAAAAATAATTAATATTTTAATAATATAATAATATAATAGACTACCGGGTGTTAATAAATTACTATTACATTATATAAGCAGTTGCATTTTAATAGCACATTAAGCCGATATGGCTGACTAGTTAAATGTACAATATTTTTTTGTTTTAATAATTCACAAATATAATACCGATAAAACATACAGAAACAGAATTTATATATAAGTAGTTAATAATATAATAATTATGTAAAATGTAATAGTACTCACACAACGTAGAACGACAAACTGCTGGGAAGAGTTGAAGGCTACTAAAATAAAACAAACCACTGGCAAGGGTTGAGAACGTAATAGTCTATTGACCAAACTTTAAGTTAAATAAAATGACAATCTTTTTGTTGTAATAATAATTCACAAATATAAAACCGATAACATAGATAACATAGATAATATAGAAACACAAAATTTATATATTATATAAAAAAATCTAATTAATATAATTAGTTGTTATTACATAGATACTACAAAAATAATAAACTACGTTTCTATGTTACCGGTTAACCGATGCACAGCTGGTCCGTGACGGCCGACCGTGCCCGACCGTTGTTTATTTTTTTTGTACCCTCTGTAAAGAAGTTTCACTTCAAAAAAAAAATATATAATATTATATGGTAGTTAACTTTTTTGGTATTATCAAGCTATAGACAATGCAGATTAAAAACCGAAAATTATATTAATTTTTGAATTGTTAATTTGTTCACTGTCATTCATTTATATCATAATTGAATTACATCTCCATGTAGGTAATAATAAATGGCATATTTTATTACAATTATCAACAGTTAAAGGAATATAATAATATGTGAAATAATTTTTATTTAATTTTTTCCTTTTTGGGATATCAGACGTATGTGTACCTTGACGTCGATATCAGTTTTAGCCAGAGTCATATTTTTGAAACACTAAGCTTAACAATATTTAAAATATATCGATATTAAAGAAAAAAAAGGGTGGAATGTTACCACTAACCTAAAATACCTACCTCTGAGTTATAACGTAAGTACAGTATTGGTATATCAATAC